AAAATGGAGTGGACATGTTGTCTGTGAATGATGAGGTTCTCTGAGTAAACTAGGATGTCGTCCAGGTTGGTGAACACAAAGCATCCTATCATGTCTCGGAGAACCCCATTAACCAGATTCTGGAACACAGCCAGAGCGTTGGTGAGGCCAAAAGGCATGACCAGGTACTCATAATGCCCCGTTGGTGTGTTGAAGGCGGTCTTCCACTCGCCTTCCTTAATACGGACCAAGTGGTAGGCATTGCGAAGATCAAGCTTAGTGAACACCTTAGCCCCCTGAATGTGGTCAAAGGCTGTGTTCATAAGAGGAATAGGATAACGATTCCTCACTGTGATGTCATTAAGCCCCCTGTAGTCAATGCAGGGGCGGAGAGAGCCGTCCCTCTTCCCCACAAAAAACACTGCACCTGCAGGAGAGGAAGAGGAGCAATTTAAGCCTGCCTAAAGTGCCTCCGAGATGTAGTCATGCATGGCATGGCGGACATTTTTTTAGGTATTAAAATTAGGACATGAAAAACATCTGGTCACCCTACCATATCAACAAAGTGCTTGTTGCTATGATGCGTTTTTGCTCAGCAGCTTCGCTTGTTATAAACCAACCAATCAGCGCTATATTCATGAGCATACCATAAAAGGAAGAAAACCTACTGTTTCATTCTAGGGCTCTTAACCAGGTTTGCATTAGTAGCCTGATAAACCAGACCAAATGTGAGATTAAATGTGTAATCTAGTCTGGCCCCGATGAAGATTGGAAAATTGTTGATAAGAACAACAAACCATGTCTGTGCCTATTGGCCAATGCTCTGACAAATAAGCACAACTGACTGTGACGTAGGAAGCACGACAGAAAGCTGGTGGGGGAGTGTAAACAAACAGCCTGTTGGTAAAACAGCGAATACGTCCTTCTTAAGGACCAGCACCAAATAACCCATACAATCACTCTATGACCCCCTTTAAGCATCTTGCTCAGGGAGCCAGAGTGGCAGTCCATGGGAGTGTGTGGGTATTCAACTCAGAGCCTCCAGGACCAAAGCACAATACCATTTGTGATGGTAGGACAGAAAATGTTCCTCCCTGTCATCACTCCCGAACTTCTAGCTGGGCTGTTGCCAGGGTGACCTAAAGATGCCCCTCTGTGTTGCTGGTTTTCTAACCCAGCTTTGGTGAATGTTTTTATTTGAAATCACAATAGAAAGTTTTCCATTAAACAAAATATACTGAAAACTATGGACTGTAGCTGGAAGTGTAGAGCTATTTACAGAAAGCTACAAACTATAATGTGTTCTTAGTTGTAATGTGTTGTTTTACTCTACCTACCTCTGCTAATCATATTGAAAATAGTTTGGTTAATCTGCAGAATAACAGTGACATCTAGTGGTGGTATCATCTAGACTGGGCTATATTCTGTTCTGTTCATTTTTTTTCCCTAGCTTTTATTGTCATTACAGTTACAAGTATTAGAGGAACAAAATGAGCCCTCTGCATTTAACTCATGCCCTTTGGGAGCAGTGGGCTGCCATTGTGCGGCGCCCGGGGAGCAGTGTGGGGTTAAAGATCTTTGCTCAGAGGCCCATAGTGGCAGCCTGTGGGAGTGGGGATTGAACTCACAACCTCAGGACCTCACTGATGAATCAGGCTTTGGTAGAGTCTTGAAATTAATTAATAAACATTATCAACATATGTGGCTGAAAAGATGTTTATCTCAAGTGTTTCAATTGAAAATTTTAAAATCCATCTGACAGAGACTCCCATTCAAAAATTAAACCATGACATTTCTGACTACTTTAGTTTATGATGTAGACCAGATTTAAAACGTCCTCATAGGCCTTTGGACAAATAAATTAAGATTCTAGTGAACAGTGGGCATAAATGTCTGTTTTCTTATGTACAACCTTCAGCCCCTCAGCTGGTTCTACACAGGGGCCATTGTTCCTATAGAACTGGTCCTATTCTAAAAAGATAATAATAGGGCTGGGAGATTAATCAAATTTTCTATTCATGAGGATTACATTTTTTTAAAACCTGGATGTTTTTCCTTCAATCCACTCCACTCCCTGGACTTCCATAGATCAGAGTCACATCAGTTCATCACTTCTTGTCCTTAGATGTCTCCTCATAACTGAAAAAAATGGCTCAGTGTAGCGTTATATTTTTATTGTTTTTGAAAGATGATTGTTTTATAACCGTGTTTTATAACCCTAGGCAAAAACTGGCAGGGGGCCCTGTACTGAGAAGACAACACATAAAACAGACCCATTCTACAGATAGAGAAATATTAATAGAATAGACATCCATTATTTGTTCTAGGTT